TTGGGCGCACAGGTAGATGCTAGTTCTTTTGTTTAGATCAGTTTGATCAAATCATTCCTTTCACAGGTGTACAGTGTTCTGAATAGGCAGAAATAATGCTGTATTTTGCTAACTGTCTGTTCAAAAGAGAAGAAAGAAAGCTTTGAGGTTAAATAAATCAAAACTGGCAAAAAAAAAAAAAAAAACTTCAGTTTTATTAAGCATGCACCGTTGCACATCCCTCTGGTTTGTTGTTGCATTAATTGTTGCAACATTTTGATGCTAGTTCTAGAATAGCACCAGACAACTTGACGGGTTAGTTGCATGTCAAACCTTTCTCATTTTTCTGTTTGATACGTCACGTTTTTGAAAGTGCGGTCTCTTCTGCTATCATCTGCTGGGAAAGCAGCATCAGAGCCAGTAGCCTGTTTCACAAAGTATTTGTGTAATAAACCTCCCTCTGAGCTCAATTTGGCCATTCACAAATTACAAGTTCAGATCCTACACAGCTGTGAGTTTATCAAAAAACACAAGAGGTGTTGGAAGTAGCGATGTCAGTACTGCTCTTCAAATCTGCATTGTAAGTTTCCACGTACTATTCCTTTAAAAAAAAAAAAAAACAGTGAACAAATCGTAGCATTGCTAGCTAAACAAAAGCTTCGCATTCCAATAAACTATGCCGCCTTCTTCTCGTTGGAGTTTTTTCAAGCTTTTATTCCTTTGGCTGGTTGGTCACACAAACCATACTTCATCACTAAATCACTACCTTGACCTGTGAAACTTCCTTGCTCCATTACAAGTCAGTGATTCAGGGACATAAAACACAGGCTGGCTGTACTCCAGTACTCCACCCCCTTCCTTCATCTGTCATTTCACGAAACTCACGGCCGGGCTAAAAGGTGCCTCGTTGCCATCTTGAAGTGTTTTGTGAAAGGGGCTGGTGTTAAACCTGTGAACAAGTTGAAAGAGAAGGATGTCTTACTTCTGGGATCTTTTCTGGAGCCTCCAGAGATATTTATACAAAGAGGGAGGCTTCGTGAAATAAAAATAACTTAATGGACGAAACTAAGCGTCCTCTTCACCAGACTGTTCTTGAGATCCACAGATCTGCAGAGCCTTCCCGCCAGCACCACCATATTTAGAGATGAAGCGTTAAATTTTCCTTTGGGAAAAAAAAAAAAATTTTTTGAATTGAATTGACTTGAGTTATTATGATGAGCACTGCACATCAGCCCTCTGTAAAATGCAAACCACCTGGCTAACGCTGCCTGCCGCTGCTACACCTTCTGTGTTGTTAATGCTTTGCAGTTACAGAGAGAACGAGTGAACATTTTGAACACAATTATAGTGAACAAACGTTTCCCTTTCCTTAGAGATGTGGAAACAAAACACATATGCAAGGTTTACCCTATTGTTTCTAATGGCTTAATGAACCATTTTATCAATGCAGTCTTTCTCATAGTAAAATAACAACCTGTTCTTTGATTGTTAATTACTACAGGCATAAAATCAAAGTTTTACTTTATATAACTTTCTCTTTGGAACAGCTTTAGTAACAGATTTACTAGGTATCTTTATCACTTCATCTATCAGAATATGAACATTTATTAAAAAATAAATTGCTGACTAGAGTTGATCTTTAATGCATAAACCAACAGTTAACACACATTTAAAACTGATTTGGTTTAAAATATATCCAGTAAGTGATTAGGACATTTTCATTTCTTGTTTGCCCACAGCGTCTACATAAAGAAACATGGTCTTGATAAGTATCTATAGTTTAATATCAAGGCAATAAAGCAAAGAAATTTAATTCAAAACAATGTAATTGCCATGCTTTGTCCAGTTTAAATATGGGAAAATCTAACCAGGAGCTGGTCCAACAAGGATCCATGATTATATGATTCACACGAACCGACAAACTAAACCAATCATTTCTGAGGAGAAGAATAGTGAGCACTGATTATGATTATCGTGGAAAAACTAATTTTCACATAAAAGCATTTTTCAAAATAAAAGTGTGTATATAGATTTGCCAACAGAATCCAGGTGTATTTATGTTTGATTTTGAAAACTAATCAGAGGAAGATCAAACAGCTGCTGGTCATTTTACCTTTTTGTAGTAAAAAAAAAAAAATGGTGCTGTCCACCACAGGATCTGCATCAATTTGTACCCACCAGGGGCATGTTTCGTTCCTGATTGGTCAAAAAGTTATTTAAAGTAGTTTTCCACTGTTTCACTCAAGGTCTACTGTGAAGAAATTTAGTTCAATGACTTTAATAACCAACATCCAGCAGCAGGAGTTTGGTCAGAATTACACTGTAATGACGAAAGCCTTGGGTCGCCCCTCTCTGCCATTGAATTTGGTGTATTTAATCCAGCCCCTGGGCATACAGACTGCTTCTAACAAACAGTTGTGAAAGAATGGGTCACTCCCAGGAGTTCAGTGAAAACCAGCATGGTCTGGTGATATAATGTCCCTTGTGCAATAGGTCAAGTCTGGATATTTTATAGCTACAAAATATTCCATGGTGAAATGTTAGCTGTGATATCATAAAATGGAAGCAACTGGGAAGGAAAACAATTCAGCCAAAAAGTGGTAAGCATGTGAAATCGATGCACTAGATCTATCTGCAGGTTCTGGATTCTGAGGACCGTATTGTGCAGATGTGGCTGACTTTCTACAGATCCAATAGACCTCCAAACTTCAAGTGGTCTTCAGATTAGTTCAGTGACAGATGCAACAATGTAAATCACACTTCCACTGGACTCCAGTGCAGTGAAGGAACAAATCATGACGCCCTCTCCGGTAATCCAGTGGACTAATCTGGGTTACCAGGAGAACAACAATGCATTGTGACACATGTAAGGTTTGGTGCAGTGATAATTTTGATGTGCGATTATTTCTCCTGACCCTTAGGGACACAATTCGGTAACCCTAACACTTTTTACGATGACTTAGAGCGGACGGTGCAAACCAGGACTTCTCGTCCAACATTATTTTCTGTCCTCACAGATTGGCTTCAGCAATAACGGTCATATTTTCTCTTAAACATGCTCCAAAACTTTGTGGAATGCTTTCCCATAAAACTGAATAGTTGAAAAGGGCGGACTGACATTATGTTAACCTCTATGGATTATGAACGGTATATCATTTGAGTTAATTTGTATATGAAGGCAGATGAGATAATACATTTGGCAATTTTGTGTGTTTTGGTTGAATCAGAGGTCGTAATCAATCACAGAGCAAATCATCAGCACCAACATAAAGGTAACATAGTTTTCAAATGATGGTACACCACTAAATTAAATGACATGAGTATTTAGATTATTTTTTATAGTCATTTATTTTCGCAACTCGTGTAAACACTCAACTACAGTGAATAAAACAGTTTGCAGGTTCAAAAAGGAAATAGAAAAATCCAAAATGGTAACGTCTAAGAGCGAAATGGGGTTAAAAAATGATCCAGGGCTCGATCCAACTCACATTTCAGTGGTTTATTTGGGCTTGATGCCATTTAATACATCTGTAAAAACATCTTTGGAAGAGCTAGGATTTGAGAATTTGACTAACTCACAAATCAAAAAGGAAGGCCTAAGAGTTGCCTCTGCTTCAGGATGATGGAGAAAGGAAGTTTTTGTTCCGTTTTTTTTTTTTTTTTTTTTGGTAGAAATTTAAATTTTACAGTGCTGAAAAGCAGAAAAAGCCAACGAGCCAGAACAGAAGAAAGGTCTCAAGAAGCAAATAAAAGCCCTCCACCATGATAACCCCCAGGTCATTGCTCCCTCTTTATGAGATCATTGAGCGTCAATCACGCGGACAGTCCCGTCTGAGCCTGGCGGGCCAAGCTCGCTAATAATATCGATGCCTCGTCAAAGAGCTGGCTGGCTGAGTCGCTCTAACAGAGCTCAGCTGTTATATTGCGTATTAGTTCCAGCGATTTGTCTCTGCCGCGCTGACAGGGAGAAACAGGCTGAGAGGGAAACCGCGAGGGCAACGGTGAGTGATGGCTGTTAGATAGCTATGCACGACAAGCCTCATTCCAACGAAGTTCTGACACATAGAGATAATGATTCACACACGTGCTGGGCCTGCAAGCCCACACAGGGGCAAACAATACAAACTCACACATAGAATGTGCACACATAGAGCCCACAAAGCTGCCTTTGTTGACTACTGGCAGCCTCTCAGCCAGCGCTTACTAAATGTAAAAAACACACATTGTCTCGTGTGTGTGCATGCATACATGTGTCATGCGTCTGACACGGTTAGCCCTTTCCCTTTTAGTCTGAGGGCCATAAGTGAGCTGATGTTTATTCTGCATCCAGAACAAGTACCTTGGTGATTTTAGGGTGGAAACATGCGGTTGTGTGCAGGTGTCTACCTTGGAGGTGACGGTAATAGAGAGGAGATTCTCATTGATCCCTTAATATCCGGCCTGAGGCCAAGACAGCGAGCCAGAGAGCCTGTGGGAAACCGTGTAGTTGAGAGCACGAAATGAAAGAAAGAAAGAAGGAAAAAGATAACAGGTGCGGAGGCGATAAAAGACCGGGAGGCAGAGGATGACCAAAAACGATAAGAGGCAGAGGTGGTGACAGAAGCGAGCCGAGTGGCGGCATTAAAACAGACACAACAAGCGAGCCGGGTTGTTGGATGGATTAGGAAAGGTGTGTTTGTACCTGTCCTTATGTGCTCTGTCACGGGTATGGCCAATAGTTTTTTTTTTTTTGTTGTTGTTGTTTTGGGAAGTCGGGGGAAGACGAGCCTCGTGAGATAGTGGGACGAGAAAGGAAAGTAAAATGGGAGGTGGGATGGTGCAACGAGGAGACGGGAAGGGAATGATGAAAAGAAAAAGGTCGTAAATTTTCACAAGGACAGACGAATAAAACCTCTGCTAAGCCCCCGCCCCTCCTTTTTCAACCACAAACGGGAACTACGCTTTGTTTTTCAGAAAACGCCCAGACCTCAGAGTCCAGTTCTCTCATTTACTGCATCCCAAATGACCAATGACACCACGCCGTGTACAAAAACCTAGTATTTATTCTCTCTCAAGTTACAATACAGTATTATCACACAGGGAAAAATAAATAAACATTTTTGTTCAATAAATAATGGCAATATGATCCATAACCTTTGGCCATAACGGCACACATTTCAAACACATGACGACAAATTTATTCTGAAAACAAAATGTTTTAACTTGCTTGGAGGGAAAGCTGAGTGGTTTGAGTTTAGGAATGTGAAGCCAACTTACAGCATTACTTCAACATTTTGAAAAGTGAATATCAGAGTGGTGAGCATGTCTTGAACTTGCTGTCATAACACCTGGCACAAGCATGTGTCTTAAGTGATCCAGTCTGAAGGCTAGTTGAAGGCATAAGGCATTGAGTTCACCGATTTACTTCAGCTTTTCTTTCCAGCATATGGCTTAAATACTCCAGCTGTTAAACTCAGATGTGCCACGGGGCAAAATGAAGGACGAGTTATTTGAAACCCTTTATTGGTGGTCTACACTTAAGCAATATCGCTGCAATAGTGTGCAGGTAAAAATAAGTCAATTTTAAGATATGTTTGATTAATAATATTTGCGTGTATTGATTGGGTGCATTGCTCTTAAACATCTAACCACTTTAGCTGTTTTTTTTTTGTTTTTTTTTAGAAAAGGAGATTGTGTAAGATGCATGTTTATTTGTAAGCATAGAAGTTGAATTATGTGTTATCTGTTTTTTAACTTTCTCCCTGAATAGACAAAACTTTTTGACAAGCTTTGTTTATTGAAGTTTACTGACCGCCATCACTGCTTGTAGATTTCCTAAGTAGGATCTAGTTAACACAATTTCACAAATTTTGTAGACTAGAGGAACGTGTTAGCTTTGGTGTGTTAACACTTTGCTTGCAAATAGCTACAGATGCAATGACATATGCATATAGAAGCATAACAGAGAGAAGGCTAGACTAACACTGCATGTAGCTAATCAAGTCTGTTAGCAAGTTCTGTTCCTGTAATGTATACAATTATCTAAAATATAGATATTACAATTTTTGATTTTAATGTGTTTGTGTACATGTAGCATTTAAACTACCACATACCAAATAAAACATTTTAAAGAGTTTTTTGTTGGTTTTTTTCATTAATTAATAGGCTAATTGCAGGAAATGAACATCTTATTGAGTTTTCTGAAAATCTGGATTTAACTACTTATAAAAAAAGTGCTAAGATGTAGTTTAGCAAAGCTGATTTGATGAAATTGTTTCATTTGAAATTTGGGGAAAATGTTTTTTTTTTTTAGAACAAAAAAATAACTTAATTTTATCAAAGCACAAACAAATATAATCTATAATATCTTAATATTAACCGCTGATGTACTTAGCTACAGTGGTTAAATAGTCACTAGTTTCCCAGTTAGGTTGGCCAAAAAAAACTGCAATTATTTTTATTTTGGATAAGAAAAATGTTATTGTAAGGGAAAGTGCCTCCACTAACTTAAAATATGACGCAGCAGGACTGCAAAAATGCTTTAAGTTTTTATTTTTAGGCTCTAAAATTCTAAAGATTATAAAAGGTGGTGATATCTGAGTAGATTAAAGCCTAAGTCATGAGCACCAAATCTAAAACGGAGGCAAACAATGTGCTTCGCCGCTCAGCTTGGACTGTATGTGTGGCTCTGTTGTGCGATTACGGTAAACTACAATTTCCTCAATAATTACTCAGCAATACCCCTCTGCTGGTTAGTATATGTGATCACTCCCTGACTCATGGCCCCTCTCTGCCTCAATCGTTCCTTTGGGCACTTTTCCTCCTCCTCTCGTCTTTTGCCCATTCATATTTTTTTTCCTTCTTCCTTTAGAGAAAGTGAATATTTGCTGATTCACACATGTGAGGTCACTGAATCAGCTTGTGCACAATGACTGCACTGTCTGTCTGGCTGCCGGTCACCCGGCCAGGCTGCGTTGCGTGCCTGTGTTGTACAAGCCTAACCACCTACAGTGGTTTTTCTGTTGATCTATGAGCTGTGAAGTCCGGTAACTCAGACCCAGACTCAGTGAGTTTATCTCAATTACCTCCAATGTGCGGTCAGAACAGTCTTGTCATGGCTTTGTGTGCGTTATGTTCCAGTAGCAGGAATGGTGACCAGCAAAAAAAGTCCATTATCCACTGGTTCCAGTACGGGATGAATGGATGTGTTCAGTATAGATGTGGTAATGTGCTTAGAGAGATCTCGGTTGCTTCCTCTCAGACTTTGTGAAAACAATAGATTTCCGCCTTGCCGTACTTTTATGAGTCTTTGTGTCCTTGTCCGGGCCGCCCAAACGTCTCAGCCTCGGAGTCTCTTCTTGAGACGGTTGAAGTCCTTGGCCGATCTCCACAACCAGCTCTGCAGCTCTCGCAGGATCCAGAAGCCCTCCACCTTCCTGGCGAAATCGTTCATCGTTGGCCGAGCTGCCAGGAGTGACGAGGAGGTGGAAGGGGAGGAGGACGAAGAGGAGAGCAGCGGACTCAGAGGAGGAGAGAGAAGGGAGGTGCCCCTCTGTAGAGAAAGCGGGACAGGCTGGGGGAGCAGGGTGTGCTCCTCACCCACTCCGAACTGGTACAGGAGCGAGAGAGTGGAGAGGGGAGGCGAGAGGGTGGGGTAGAGAAGAGAGCGAGGACGCCGGTGGTGCTGCTGGAAGGAGGCGGAGGAGGAGGAGGCTGAGTCCATATCTGCGTCCTTTTCTCCCTTCAAAACGAATCTCCTGTTTGTTTCTAAAATAAATCCATCATCTCTGAGGGCGTCTCGGTGATCTGAGTTCAGACTGAAGCTGTACTGGTTGTTCGTTTGCTGATGGTTTATGATTTCTCCGGAGCCCAGATACGACACTTCCACTCTGATTTTGGTCTCCCTGTCCTTCTCATCCTCATTCTCTTCTATACTCAACAACCTTCTCCTTCTGCCCCAGTTTTCCACCTCTTCCTTCAGCTCCTGCACCTCCTGTTGCTCTTCCCTCTCCTCTCTTCTCACTCGTTCTCCTCTTCCCTTCTCCCTCTGCCCACCACTCCGCCCCACAGCAGTGGTTGCCTCTGCTTTCTTCCCCGTTCTCCCTCTTCTCCTGTCCATCTGGTCGCCGTCTTCCCTCTCTCTGACCATCTTTATCCGACTTCTTCTCTGGCTGCCACGCTGACTGGCCTCTGTTCTTGTCCCATCTCTGGATCGGTACAGGCTCTGGCTCATGAGCGGAGCAGGCCGGTTGCTCCCAGTCCCCCTCTGCGGGAACTGCAGCTCGCCAGCTGCAGCTTGAGCGGGGGACGAGTAACCGAGGGAGTTCATCAGTGCAGAAATGGAGCCGAGAAGTCCATCCAGACCGGTGCAGAAGTGCAGCAGGGATGTTTTGAGGGACGGGCAGAGGGTGGAACGGGCCAGCTCCCTGACAGCAGCCAGCAGGATAGAGTAGGCCCTCTGGTTCTGTGCGAGTCGGGCTTGGTTCTCCAGGCCGTGCCACAGCTCCAGTCGGGTGGCGGCACTAGGCAGAGTCAGAGCTGTGCTGTTGGGCCGAGGAGGAGAGAAGTCTTTCTCATTGAACGGCGGGCCCAGATATGTCAGCTGGAGGAAAAGCCAAAAGAAAGAGACGATAAAACATAAAAAAAAAAGTGAATTACAAACAGGGCTGCCTTCACACTTAATCGATACATACAAACTTCAAATACGCTAAGACAAGCTGAACAGCAGATTAAACAAAGCGACGAGTGACGGTGACTTTGCAGTTTGAATTTGTTTTCTTTCCCAACAAAGTTACAAAAACAGCTGGGTTAACCGCAGTGTTTTGAATAAAAATCTGCCAGATTTGGATTAACAGAGCTCTGCTGACACATTCCCATATCTCAGCAAATTAATTAGGAAAATAAGGCCTCATGAGGCAGGCTGGCAAAAACATTTGGAGCATTAAAAAAAACATTATTTGAACACTTTGAACTGTTTTTTTCTTTGCTTGAAACTCAATGAAATCCTTCAAGAACTAGGCTGCTGTGGGAATATTCTTCAAAACTCAGGATTAATAAAAAGAAAAGCAGCAGGTCAGCTGAGAAAAAAAACAAATGGATTTTCTGTCTAATAAAAACAATGTCCTATTTGATTTTTGCCAAATCTGTGTTACTGCCAGGTCAAACAAAAGGAGAAGATTAATAGTTTATAAGTGACATAAATCAACAATAAAAATCTTTTTAAGTCTTTTGGTTTTCTTGTAATGCTAGAAGTGTCTAAATAATTTGATTTATTTGACTTACTTCAGCTTAAGCAAGAGAAGAGGATAAATGAAAAGCAAATGTTTGGCTAAAATAAACTAACAGTTTCTTTTCTGTCTCTCATCCCTGGAGAAGAGTCAAAAAACTGCATATAATTCTTTAAATTTAGAATCTCAGTACCCTAATACAATTATTTAAAAAAAAATGTTTTTCAGGTTTACAATTAAGAAATATTAGCATATCTTACGAAGGAAAACAATCCTCCAGCATAAGCACAGTGAGCAATAAGGAGCTTTTCCAAATATTCGGTCATTGTTTTCCAAATATCTCCTGGTCTCACCTGACCTAAGCACATTCTTCCAGTTAAACTCCCTGTAGAGTTTAGCAAACTTACATTTTCCTGTTTGTGAATTTAGGACAAGAAAGTAAAAGTCTTTTTATTGACAAAACCACTCCGAAATGGTTTTTAAATAGCACTGAATGGTTGTTATGGAGACTAAAGTTAAATATTGACCCGTTGCAACTACGTCACTTAATCATTCGAGGCGCCATGACGGACGTCGGAAGTGAGGGACGGGAGTATTTACAGAGCAACTGAAATTGTTTTCGCAAGTTGTTTTTTCCAGTTTATTCATGGTTTCTACTTGTTCGAGTCGAGCTAATTTGTTTGTGAACGCGACACACCTGATTAGGGAGCCATAGACGGTCCTGTTAGACAAGATGCTAACCATTTTTTTTTTCCCCCACACATGCTAGGCTTCACATGCTAGGTTATGACGGTGCGGCACTGTTTCCATGGTAATGGTTAGACGCGTACCTTCCTCATAATGCGATATTTGATATCTTTCTAATCATACTTGCTTATAAAGTTTATGAACGCTAATCTTCTGACCTTGTAAAAGGTGTTCCCTGAAAATCCGCGATTACACCGAGGGCTAAGCAGTCATGATGATTGACAGCTGATCCATCACCGCCGTATCTTTCCTCATTCAAACTAATTCAGTAAGTTTGGTCAACATCCCGGTCTTTCTCTGCAGCCGACCGCGCAGCACCCTGTGACCATTTTTACTGCGAAATCAACTTAATAAGAGCGCAAGGGTTGTTTTGACGTCTGTCATGGCGGAGTGGGCGGAGTTTCGAAGATAGTGACGTCACGTGCAAACGGTCAGTATGACGTTAGGTGAGTATCTTCTGTCTTGTAGCCATTCTGTAACTCATCAGTTTTACTTGAATGTCATGTTTGCTTTTCACATTCTGTAGAGAAAGTAGAAATAGACCCTCTGTGTCACATCATATTTATACCTCAGGCAAACAAGAATCATTAATTAATTGGCCTACTAATTAAAGGTTTTTGGACATTCTGATCCACATTCAGAGGAAATTGAAGATTTTAATAATCCTTTAGGTACAGTTATTTTGTTATCATTTGGGGCTGCCAGTAAGAGTGACTTTGATAAATAAAAACAATAAAATTTCAAGTTTCATGAAAAATTTGTATCGTAGTGTGTAATTGTGTTGTATAAAAATAATCTCAAAGAATTACTCACATATACGTCTTTGATTTCCTTGAGCTGGTACTCGAGGTATTTGGTCAGCTCGTACGTGCTTTCGATCGAACTTCTCTCGCTGGCCAGGTTGTGGGAAGGATCCATGGCCGTTACCACGGCAGCAGCCAGCAGCACTGCGAGCAGCTGACGGACTGTGGGGGGAAATCAAAAGAAAAAAGGCTGATTAAAACTCCGACAATAAGAGATGCTTCTATAATGACGTGCATGTCTTAGGTGTCCAAATGTTAGCACGCACAGCAGAGTTATTTATTTTAAAAACAAAGAGGCAGAACTTATTTCAGCTATTATTTTCTCATATGTTTTGAGATTATTTATATTGGAAACTGAGTTTTATAATAAATCTAGTGACTAAATGGACAGAAATAACATTCAGCAGCAGTTTCCAGACTTCACCGTAACCCTGTTTGTTGGAATTGTAAAAAATATTCAGGTTTATTTCATTGCCTGTGTGGTGACGACTTTGCCTGGTTGCACCCTGCCGGGGTCAGAGTTATCTGACACTGCCAATGAAACCTTTTCCGTTTCCAATCTCGTTTTAGAGGTCTCTGGCTGTAGGAGGTTTACTCTGGGTTTAAATAAAACCTCGCCTAATAGCTCTAGACAGTAAAACAAATGGCTCCTACGTTCAGGGTTCACACAAAAGCTCACACGTATGTTCATTCCTGACCAAAACCCTCCAAAACAAAGACATGTGGCTTTCTTTACCATCACAAACATTAACGTGTTTGCATCGTGGCCCTCTTGTTTATGTTTTACCTTGTTTGTATAGCTGCTTTAGGTTACATGTGAGTGTTTGCTAGAATGTTTGCAGTCGACATCATATACGTGGATTAGCATTACATTGCTGCGATTGTATACAGTGATGTTATGTGTGTTTGAGGAAAAGAGAGATGACGGGACGATCAGAGGAAGTGGGGGGTAGCAACACTGAAACCTTTCAGAGCCCAAATCTCTGGTTTCAAACAGAGAAAATTGGAGCTGAAAGGTTGATTTTTCGACAGTACGGTACTTCATGTACGTCCGCCTCTCGTTTTTTTTTTTTTTTTTTTTTTCACTCTTTGGATGCTTTCACTTTTTTCCCCCCGCTAAATTTCTCCAAACACAACACTTTTTTCCTCCTCCTGCACTCTGTCATCCTTTCCCATCCTCTCGGCGCTCCCTTTCATCCTGACGTTGCCCAGACAAAAAGCCGTGATTCATGCTCCTAAAACATGCTGCTGTTCATTAGGTGTGAAAAGTGCATTGCACAATATTTCTCTCTGGCGCTCAGTCAGCCTCCGTCCAGCTCAGACACACCTCAGTCGGCCCTCCTGTTGCCCCGCCAATTCAATCCCTTTCTCCTTTTAAATTAGTCACAGTGTACTTAAGCCTTCCTCCCTTTTCCTCCAGAGTTTCTCCTCCGTCTCCTTTCTGCCTCAGGTTAGAGAAAAAAAAAGAAGAAAAAACAGCAGCCAATTAACCCTGATTAGCTCTCTTGCTCCCTCCCTTTTCTTTCTGTCATCCTCCACGATGGACCCCACAAGAAGAACGAGAGACCTGAAGTGAAATCGCTCTGACATATTTCAAAACATTTAGCTTTAACACGCTTGTTGGGCCCGCTGAATGGAGAAATGACCTTAAACAGCCAACGCGTTTTCCCTGTGACTCAGCCGTATCGGTGCCCACTCCCAAACAGGGTTGGGTAGAAACTCGCTGTTCTTATGTATGCTATACTACTCAACGGACAAAAATGTACAGCCCTTTGTACAAACCTTCCCACTGTCGCGCTGTTTGTATATTTAGGGTTGTTGTCCTGCTGGAAGGTGAAACTCCACCACTGTCTAAAGTTTTCTGTCTTTCCATTCACTCTGAACGCTGTCCCTGTTGAACAAAACCATTCCCACAGCATGATGTTTCTACCACCATGTTTCACGGCTCGCTTCTTTACAAAATAGTCAGTTAGGCGGAAAGCAGTTTTCAAGATTTGACACATATTTAGGTCACACATGAATTTGCACCAATTGTCCTGCTGCAAGGCTTTTGGAGCCTCTTACATGTCTTTTTATCCTGTTTTAGCTCCTTCCCATCAGCTCTGATCAGCTCTTCGTACCCTCGTGAAGAAATGCTGATGTTCCCACCACCATCACAACTGAATTTTGTTGGGATGTGCAACAAAATTCAGTTGTGGTCTCATCTTAGTAGAAAAACATCTTTAAAGAGGATTGGGAGGAGTGGTGTGTGTGTGTGTGTGTGTGTGTGTGGAGTCATGGAAAATCAAAGTTTTTGCTCTTTGTATCGTGTTATGTTGAAGCAAAATCTAATTTCTTTTAAGTTGTTTTTATTGTGCCTGGAAAACACATTGTACCTCCCTTTAGCGTCTTCTGATAAACTGCCAATTTCTTTCAGCAACAGCTTTGGGCCAAATTTGTGAACTGCATAACTAATAGACGTCCTGTCAACATGATCTCCAACCTGAGCTTCGGATCTGTGCAGAGTTACCAACGTCCTCTTGGCTGCTTCCCAGTTTGCCGTTGTTCTTGTTCAGCCTGTGGCGATGCAGTTGTTCTGAACTCCCTACATGTTCGTATGGATGATCAATGCTGCTAACCTTAACCTTGTGAGACATCCCTGGTCTGGATGGTTATCATAAGCGTGCTTTAAGCATGTTCACAACTTTCTTCCTGATGTGTTTGTTGTGTTTCTTGGTCTTCATGATGCTGTTTCTTCACTAATATTCTCTAATAAACAAAACAGAACAGCTGGATTCATATTGAGATTTAACAACACAAAGGTAGATTTTTTATTTTTTTTTGTAGATTATTTTGCCCTGGATTTCCTTTATAAGTAATAAAGTGGGGATACCACAAATTCCATCTTTTTAAATGGTTGAAAGCCATTTTTCACTAATTTTACAGTTCTAACCCACTTTCTGTTGATCTCCTAAATAAAATCCTAGTATTAAAACACATTTAAGTCTGTAACAAGATAAAAAAGGACTATGAATACTTTTGCAAGGCTCTGCATTTAAAGAAGAAAGCACACAGAGACCTTTTTTTTTGTTTAATTTGCTACAAACAGAGCCTGGGAAATAATTAGAAAGGGAACAAATTGGAAGCATAAATCCTCTTGTTACAAATTGCGATAATAACGACTAAGTCACTGTGATGACACATATTTCCCAAGATATCTCAACCCACCCAGCAGGCTAAACCTCACTTCAAAACATATTTGCCAAATGAGCTTTCCTGGCAGATTGAATGACAGATTGGGAAGTTGGCAGTTTCAAATTAAATCAAGATTAGAAATGCCTGTCGCTGCGCTGACAAGGACGAAACCTGAACAAACAACTCCCCAACTGCTCATCTGGAGGCACGAACATAATGTAGCCGCTAATGTTTCTGCTACCTGCTAACCTTCAGTTGTTGATGGCATTAAAAAAAAAAAAATCCTCCCCCAGACTATTATCTAAATTACTGAGGTCTAGCCAAGAAGCAGCTCCCGCATGTTCCCACACAGACACACACCTCGAAATCAGTCAACCAGGGCAGCATCTGCCAACAAAGCCTCCTCCGTTCTCCCTAACTGCAAAAGCCTCATCACCTGTCAGCTGCAATGCGCATCTTTCAGCCGCACATTTGCAGCTCCTGGTGCCGCAGAGCATCCTGAATTACACCCCCCCACCCCCCTGTCCCCAGAACTCACCACAACACCAGTGACTCACAGTAAACAGCCCTGGAGGTAAGTAGGTTGCATTAAAAAAGGTATAAACAGGTAGCAAAGAAAATGAGTCCCGGGGAGAGGAAGGAATAGCACTCCTGGTAAAAATGAGCCTAAACTACTGCTAGCGGCTCTCTTTGTCTGCCGCCACATGCTCGGGAGATGATTGCCAGACGTGGAAGGCTCTTGTTGTTTTGATTGAGCTCTGACATGTATGAAGGCAACCTTTGCTGCAGCTGAAAACAATCTCTCTTTGTACGAGTAAACTGAGATAATTCAGACTCCAAGCTGTTTTGTTGTTATATAATATTAGATTGAGTAACTACAGTACAGTCGGCATATCGGCTGACTTCAAGGCGAGCCCTGCGGGTTCGAGGCCGACTGCGTGTACCTGGCAGAGGAAGCACACTCCGCAGGGCAGGGATGAAACCAGAACATTCTCAGTGGGAGGATTGCATTACGGCTCACCGGGGTTCCCTCCAATGGCTGACCATGACCCGCATCTGTGCGTCCTACAGCAGATGCGCATGCAAATCTGAGCTGCGCACACACACACACATGGGAGCACTGTTATCCACAGCACATCATATTTTTATCCTTTGGTTGGTTCTCTGGTGTAATGTCAGATGTGGCACTCTGGAATCTGGCTGCCATCTGCAGAGCAGACCAAAAAAAGCGGAACATGCACAGCTTCTGAGCCCCCAAATAGGTTTAAATTAAACACCACCAGGGGGTCGGAGGTCAGAGTTGAAGTTTAGGGCATAAGGATAAGTTTTGGGGCAAAAAGATCCTCGTAAGGGCGGGATACTTTACAACCCAGACGGTGTTTTGGTAAACCAGTGACCCGGTGTTTGTGGATGTTGTACCACTTCCCTCTGAGAGCGCTGGTATGTCATCTTTCACAACATGCACCACCATTTGAGGTTTCAAACAAGCACTTAAAGAGAATTTGGTACGGTGGGAAAACCATGCGCAAGTAAATGTAACCGGTCTGCTCCAGGAAAAAGTGGCTGCCAAAAAAGGTTGCCCTCCATCACTCTAACCACTTGAAAGAGCTCTCAAACAGAGAGAAAACATAATGTACGTGCACAGAAGATGTTGTTAATCAGGCTGAAATTTATGTTTATTGTTTCCCATGTGACATTGATTAGGAAGGCTAAAGTAGATTGTCATGATCTGGGTATAAATTTGGAGACTGGATTTAACCGTAAACGAGCCCAAGCTGTGTTTTCCAGACTTAAATTTGCTACATGCTTTGATTCTGTTGCTGCAGAGGAGCTGCAGCGGAGAACAAAACCAGGTAACATCAGTTACAGTGAAACCAGATATTTACATACACTAAAAAGACACATAACTTTTTTTTTCTCACTGTCTGACAACAAGTCAGACTAAACATTTTGGTTTAGGTCAAATAGGATTAGCAAACTTATTTAGATTTCCTAAATGCCAGAATATGAAAGAGGTATTAGAGACTCTCTAAACAACATGTGGATGTTTATTAGAAAAAAAACACCTCAAACATGAAGCTTCTTTGACATTATAAGCATTTAAGGATGTAGGAATACGTTTTCAAGTCCAATCCCATCTGTGAAGTACAGTGGTGGCTGCATTATGTTGTGGGCTGTTTTGCTGCAGAATTAACTGGTGAATTTCAAATATTAAATGACATTGTGAGGAAAGAAAATCCAAAATTTTTGACCCAAGTTACACAGATTAAAAGACAATTCTAACCAACACTAAGAAAATGCATGTAGCGTTCTGAATTTAAATAAATTTAAAAAAAAATCTAAAGTTCTCTGATTATTCAGCTGTTTAACAAACAAAAATTTAAAAATAGGTATCTTTAACTGACCTACAACAGGAAAAGTAGAGTCTGATTTAATGTCTTAAAGTAAAAAGAAAGTATTTTTAAAAAGTCTACTCTGAAAAGTTCCCATTCAACTCTAATAAAAACGAATAAATTCAGTTATGGTGCATTACTTTTAATGTGCTTCCACCCACTCACACTCGACAGGAGAAATCTAAAATTCCATAAAATGTCCTCCTGACAGACTGAAATCATATTACAGTGAAAAAAACCCTAACTTTAAATTTCAGCCTGTAAGAGATTTGAAGTCAGACACATCAGAAACATCTGACAGTCTGAAGGAAGCAATACGTTTTTGGGAAGATGTTTCATTTTACTTTGAATCTGTATAAGTTGTGAATAAGTAAGTAATTGGACTAAAAAGTGAAATATTTTGTAGATAGATTTATTAAAGTAAGTATTGAGCCACAGAAATCATTAAATGTTTCAGTGAAGGCAGAAAATAAAGAAAAGCAAAAGCTTTTTAGCTATAATCATTATTTTGATTATAGCTAGAAAAAAAATCGTCAGAAAATAAAAGATTCATAGTAAAATGAAACACGGCTAAAGAATGCAACCGATCCAAATGTCAGTGCCAAACACACACCGACAAGTAAGAAGATTAAGCTATGGAAACACGATTAGGAGCAGAAGTGCTTTAAAAACTGGGATTGTGGTGAATCTACAGTTACACAACCTGCTTGCTGATAATCTGCTGCAAAACATATGTTGCACTAATGGCATAACAATAAATGAGGAAAATCCAAATGAATCCCTTTTTCTACCGTTTAAACATTTGACCTGACAAAACAAAGATCCAAGTCAGATTGAAATGTTCAGTCTATAAAATATTACTCCTACTGTACAGATCAAGAATGCAGGCCTTTCTCTGCTCCTTCGCAGCCCTGCAGCTTCATCCTTTCATATCTGCGTTATACCTTGTTTTCATTCATATCGTAAGTTTAATATACGATTGACCAAAGAGGTTTTAGCTTCATCAGTCCACTTTACTCAGCCATCTTATTCAAAATAAGTTAAGACAACATCAAGGATCAACCTACTGCCTGAGAAGATTAACTGCTACAACATTAATATTAACTCTATTTAATGTTTATTGACTTTAGTTCGGCAAGCGTCTTAATAAAAAAAAACTCATAGCCCACACGGCTAACAGCGAGACTAAAAACGTGTGGGTAACGATGGGAAACACAAAGAAAGGAGACAAAACTGCAGTAAAATAAATCTAAACTAAACAGCGAAAATTGGCATAATCTTATTCAGAACCGTATCAAACCATCTGCACAGCAAAGCCATGGTCACAACTTCCACCCTCAGAGACAATTAGCCCCAGAAATTGTGTTTCTGAGCTACAAACGCAAATTAGCTCCAGCTTACTTTATATTGCAGACGCAATAAATAAAAACATGGTTATTTACAAACATATCGGCGCCATTGCACTACTTTTTTTTTTTTTTTAAACATGCTTCTGTTCTGCATGTTAGATTTAATATTCTGCTAAATAAGTCGGGTTAACTCGTCGATGAGTGATAGGAATGAGGAAAATATGTAAGTTAAAATATTTGGCATTTTCCACCCACAGGTCTTCAATAGTCATCTCTAACTGATGTACTGTGCAAACCGCCTGAGTCATTCATCCCACGTTCACCTCATATTTAGCCTGCAAGGAGTTTGACTTTTCTCATGCCTGCATGAGTCATAGGTCAGCGTTAAGTGCCTTAGCAAACAAACCAAAACACTGGAAAATCATCAGGTAGGTCTGAAAATGACATGACTGAAAATGAGTGAAAAGCAGCCAAAGTTCATGGGAAAAAAATACTGAAGATGAAGATAAACCGATTACAAGGACATCTGGCTGCTTCAAACCCAAATCTTTAAAAAAAAAAAAAAAAAAAAGAAAAAAATTTTGCATTTAAATTCTTATTCAAAAAGGGAGCTCATTATGTTCTACCACATGTATTCACTAAATATTTCAGTGCACACATAAAGTTGTTTTTGTGTCTTTTTTTTATATAAAGCACACCCATCCTCTATCCTGATTTGCATAATTACTGTCATCCAGCTAACGTGGCAGCTGGAGACTCCTGCCTCTGGGAACGACTCATCACAGCCAAACTTAGTCAAGCTGCTTCACTTTCCACATATCTGCCAATAGATTGCAGTCATTTTACAGCTTGGTTATTTTTTTTATTTTTTATTTTTTGTCTACTACAGCACTTTCCTGAATGCTGAACGATAAGAGGCAAAGAGACGGATGAGGACACTGATGTGAGGGGACAGAGACACAGGCGAAAAGGACAGACACATGTGGGCTCGGGGTCATTGTTGTGTGTCTGTGTACAGTTAAAGGCCAGATTTATGTGCAGCCTGTCCTCAATCAAGCGTGCACATTCCTCTGCTAACTCAACACACACACACACACAAGCATCCAAAGTGTGCACTGTGCAGCAGATCCATGTATCCAAAGGCATCGCTGCACCTAAAACGCATCTAAAAATGGACATACAAGCACTAATCCATGTACTTTTCCCTTCTATTCTCTCTGGAGATTTCTTAGTCGGCGTTTGCTCATAAAAGCTTTAACAATGGAGACACTCAGAAACATCAGTGACCCAAAAACAAGCGCAACAGAAAACAGTCCAATAAAAGAGATCCTATAAAAATTATGTTTATTCCCAGAAACTCCATTTCTTAGTGTCGTAAATGCCACATCCTCTGCTTTGTTTCTGCTCTCGCCTTGTTGTCTCTCCTGCTTCACCTTATAAGCTAATCTTTTTTTTTTTTTTTTTTAAATCTGAACATTCCTGTTGCTTCATTTTTTTTATTGCTGTGCTTGGTTTCAATTTCATTGTCGCCTCATCCGTCTCAGTCTCTTCTCCAAATCCGCCTTAGACATCAGACCCTCCTCCTCCTCTCCTACTTAGACCCCCTTGTTTTGGAAGTGGCCTCTCCAAATTTTCTACATCAATGTCAATAATTCCACTCTTCTAGTTTTTTTGGGCCCAATTCACTTAAATATATCAGGTTAATCAATTGGCCGATGGAAATTACTGTAAGGTGTGAGCGTGTGTACGGCCTCTGTTGGTCAAGAAACCTGAGCTGCGCTGTCTTTGGGTTTCATATGTTATTTTTTTTTTGCTAATAAAAATCTACAAAATGTTGCATGCATTTGCATTTAACCATCCTTTACTTTGATGGCCCAAAATAAAATCTAGTGGAACCGGTTGTCTGCAGAAGGCACGCAATTGTCAAAAACACAACATCTGATATATCAGGATCTTTATCAGATCTGACTTTTGACGCAGAGATCTCTACCACAAATTTCAACATGAACAAAGTAAGGCAAAATTGTAAGGTGGGACAAAAGTGATGAATACTAAACCAAATGCTCTTATGACCCTATGACACTTGGTGGAAGCACCATCATGCTCTGCAGAAGCTTTTCCAGCAGGACAATATCCCTGAACATACACACAAACTTTTAAAAACACATAACTTTCTTCCCAACTCATGAGGATCTTTTCCTTTGTATTGGTGTAAAACAAAAAATAATAATAATAATAAAATTCACCCACGTTTGTGGTCTCAACATAACAAAATGTGAAAGGAACATGAAAACTTCTCAAAGGCTCCCTACCTGCTGCTTATGTTATTTTAAATTTGCAGCGTCTTGGAGGTTTTGGGTGCCAAAACTAAAAGCCACAAGTTGCATTCTTGGAAGTTCTCCGTTTCAAAATGTGTTTATAACAGAAATAGTTTCCTTATGATGCCCTGTCTGCCTTTTTTTCTACTTGTAGATGTTGTTTTGTTAGCTCTGTTTACACCAAGATTATAATTCATCTCCTCTCAAAACAGCTTTACATGTCAGCAATTGAAAAAAATGGTAATTTTACAATATTTACTGTTTTCATCAAGACGACAAGCTAACAAACGTGCTTTTCTTACACAAAGATCAGTTTAACACTAAATAAAACTCATTCTAAAAACAAGAAGAACTTAAGATTGACTTTACATTGTTTCATTTTCTTCATTGAATTCCACTGTAGCATTTATTTTCCCAGGTAAATGTTTTCCCAAAAATACAAAATACGTGATTATAAATTAAATACCAAGTGCTGAGACGTTATTCTCGTTTGGTTTTTGCTGCTGCACACCTGCAGTCAAACTGCATGACATTTAATCAGCTCTGTTTCAGACGGCGTTCGTGAAGCTTCAGTGAGTCTGGATCAAACATGTGAAATGTGAAGGATTGCAATGACGTTTCTCAAGCCGCTGAACAGAAACCTAAAGGGAACTGCTGCTCAGTGAAATCGTTCTTCTGATCCGAGTTGCTATTGGATTTTAAAGCTACCAGCTGAGCTTCTCGGTAAAATGAAGCCAGCTCTCAGTTGTAAACCAATAATTACTTCAGATCAAATCTACCCTCCAAAAGAAAAGAAGTTTCCATGAACGCACTCTCCTGGTATCATCACAAAAGACATATTCAGAATTCTTTTGAGCACATTTATATTTTTCCCCCTTTTTTAATCTAATCCTTTCTTCAAGTGTGTCTACATCTGCGGCAAAACTTTTGAGACGTGTATATATATATATATATATATATATATA